AATGATTGAGTAAGATGATAGACTTTCACTGTATTACAGCAGAGAATTGTAAACAAAGCCCGCCGAAGTTTTTGTGCGTTTATAAGTATTATAATAATTTAGAAGCAATTATTTCACACTCATATGTACTGCTGATGTAATATGAACTAAAAATTTTCTGACGTGCATTGGAATCGGATGCAGCTCATTGCGCGTACGTATTTATTTCCAATCATGACAGTAAATACGTCCGGGTACAAAGAATTCTCGTCCAATCATATGCGATAAGATTGGCTGAGCTTCTGCGAACCTGAGTAAAACTTCCTGTAGTGTAAATGATTGCTCTGTACCTGTAGTGTACAGCTGAGTACAACTCCGTGTTACTCCCTCCCTGTAATGTACTTTACTTATGGTTGAACTATATAAGGTTGACCCACGAGGATTTCCGTCTTTCAGTTCAGCTTTCTTGAGACGTCACTGAGATCGAGAAACGTAAACAAACCCGTCATTCCCATGATGGATTGGTTGATTGGTTTGATGACTTTGATCGCATTTCGGTGATTGGTTAATGCCCGTGACGTCGCTGAGATCAGTGACGTCACTGGCGAACAGCAAACTACATCCGCAGTAATGAGCTTCTCATGGGTCAACCTTATACCTGTTCAACCATGTACTTTACGTGACTCGTCGCCTCTCACGCACGTGATGATCGCGTTGCGCGAGACGTGAACGGAAATGGACGGCCGCAATACAGAGTGCGTCAGTCCCACGCCGCAATCTCCTTGTAACCTACCGCCAGTTTGTCGTGAATTGCTCCCAAGTCAACATGTGTGGCCTTCGAGGGTGTCTACTTATCCTCATGTTTGGATCCGTCAACGGCGTTAGTAAAGATTTCGTCTTAGGTATTAGTCTGGATAGTCTATATTCACTAAAATGTTTTCTCTGTTTATAAAGAGTGTATTGTTATTTGTTTTGCCTGAGATTGATATATCTTGACCCTTTCCCGCGGCACGTGAGTTGTGGTTGAGCTTTTCGTTGAGTCTGTACATTTGTGAGATTCGCGAATTTTTGAGCTGCTTTTCCCCGCATGCCGCGTGTTTTCGTTAACCAAGTGTAAGAAAACAAATTATAATTATTGTATCCTTAAGGCTTAAGGTAAAAAGTTTATTTTAGATATCCAGAACTGAGCGTCAAAACTAAAGATGCATGCAAATTATTGTACCACTACATTTAATATGATGTTTTACGACCCTGATTCTCGTTGGTCCCTGCATCCATTCATTTATTCATAGTTTTGGGCTCATAACCACGATTGCTATAAGACTCGTCCACATGATCGATGATCGTGGTGTGCGTGCCGCTCACCTTCTCAATTAGAATCGAAATTGTATTCAAAATTAATACGAAGTTTGGTATATGCAGAAAATAGTTCATTATTTTTCGTGATTTGTTCGAGTACACATCTTGAAGTCTTCAATTTTAACACAAACTTAGCCCCGTTTTTATGAAAAATAATGTGTGTGTGGGTTAGTGGTATAAATAAGCTGGTATTGTTACTAGACCATCAGCTTTGCTGAATTGTGTTCCTTCAATATTTTTTGGACATGATACCGGAACTGTAGCCGGCTCCGCGCTTTTTTCGGAAATATTCATCTCATGTATTTTTGGCAGCGAATTTCTTCCGAGACCTTGAATGATTTATAAGCTTTAAAAATGTATGAATAATTTCCGTAAAAATAAATACGTGAAAAGTTAATGGTAAAAATCAGGGTCGCTAATTCGCAGTTTATAGAATATTCGGGCTGTGCAGGCGCTGGGCCGGCATGTGGGAGCTGCGGTCGTGACGCGTGAAGGTGATCGTGGCTACGGCGGATGTGGCGCGCTCTGAAGGAAGTCGGCGCGCCGGTTCCTTGCGTCCTTTAAGATTTTTAAATGTGCTAGCCGCGTATGCGGGTTGTGATCGACTATCTGATCTATCGAATGGTGCGCTCAATTGTCATGTACTTTTGTTGTGCCGGTGCAATTATTCTTTCCTTGCTAATTTTTGTTAGTCTTTACCTTTCGTAAACGTGTAAGATTATAATGAAGAAATTTATACTTTGCTATCTTATTCATTCAGAAATTTATCTACCAATCAACAAGTATATAATAATAAAACAAAAAATTTTTGAAGATCTTACTTATTCGTAACGGATTAATTATAATAACTTATTTTCTAGTTTTTACTTTTACATCATTTCATGCGTGGAGCAACATACCACATACAAGCAATGAATGAATGAATGGAATGCAGGCTTGAATGCTCCCAGGCTTTCTTATTCAAGCATCTACAGAAGAATTATTCTGAAGCATTCGATCACGTCTAAAAACGTAGGCGAACGCGGCTTTACTAAATCGATTAATTCTCTCAGGTAAATGAAAGAAGCTTTGTCCAAATAGCGACGCACTCTCTGCCCTTGTGCGGGTCATTTGTACCCTGTTTGGCAGGCAAAAAGCCGTATCAGTGCTCCGCCTGCTTTCTGCTGGTGTCTGGGTAAAAAAGTGTGTCAATATTTGGATAATGTATCCCTTCATTTTTCAATTTTTGGATAATGTTACCCCATTCATTTTTTAATTTTTGGATAATGTTACCCCATTCATTTTTTTAATTTTTGGATAATGTTATCCCTTCATTTTTCAATATTTGAATAATGTTACCACCTTCATTTTATAATGTTACCCCTTCAATCGCGTGAAATAATTTCTTTCCACGTTTCCATTGTTGCTCATATACTTGATGAGCTGTGGCTGCTGCGTCTCTTTGGTGGAAGTCATTTTCTCTCGTTGGTCATTGTATATAATCAGCATTTATATCATTTGCCTATAACGCTTTTAATCAACACTCATTTCATCTACATTTCCTCTTTAGTCTTTACAAAATATTGTAATTAGATTATGGCAGAGAGTTCGGTCATGAATCATTTCATGACCGAACGGTCATGAAAGGTATTAGTATACGGTCGACATATACGGTCGTCAGCAAATAAAAGTTTACGGTCATGAAATCATTTGGTGTTTTTAAAAGCAATTTGTATGAAATACTTGGTGCATGAGCATGAATATCGGAGTGAGAATACGCGATCCTCGTTCAAGAGTGAGTTCTGAACAATACGATCTAATTGACGAAATCTCGATGCTTTTGGTATTTTTAAGATTGAGTTTTCTCATCATTTTAATATTACTTTGCTGCGATAGATTGACAAAAAACTGGAAAATCGCCAATAATTCGTGATCAAAAGCTCCCATTATACCATTTATAGTTGCATCGTTACAGTGTTAATATCATCATGACTGCAGAGAATCGCTTGTGCTGCTGTGTTGGCTTGCTTTACTTGCACACTGAAATATAATCTGCAATAAGTGGCTCCGGATCGGTGCTAAAATAGTTGCAACATTCGCATGTATTTTTACTTTTATGTCTACGTCAGGCAAAGCCAGTTATTTTTGCTGATTAAGTATAATATATTTTTTTGTGGCATAACATTTCTGTAACAATGGCAACCTAAGCACAAATTTCATGGATTGAAAGTCTCAATTGTATAATCAGAGATTAGAGCTAAATTACTAATGCTCTCGAACCGTCCCCATGCAATACGCGTGAGCCCTATAGAATTCACTATTTTGTCAAAGATAACCACAAATTTGAACGCAGCATGTTTTTAATAATAGAAAAGTTTCGTATAGAATATTTTCGGGTATCTTTTTATCACCACTTGTCTTACTATGTGCATTCGTATTTCGTAGCATTATTATCTTCATTCCCTTATTTTTGTTAGCTTCGATATTGTAAATCTTGCGTCATGATCTATCTTGCCTTGTAACAAATCGCCTCGGTATCTTCATAACAATTAACGATGTGTAATTGTAAAATTGTCACGTAGAACAAAGGAATATAATTAGTTTGCTTGTGTTACTCCTGAATGAGACTGTGTACGTTCTGGACTTGCTGCAACAACTTCGTAAGTCTCCCTTGATGTCAACGTTTGCACTGTCGTTGTATATACCGATGTAGGCCTCGAAGTTTGATGAAGTTCACGAAGAGATGAAGGTTAGCGTTGCTGTACTTGCTGCTTTTCTATGATAACCGCTCGCCCGTTGTCATCTCAAATGCAGATGCATTCAGGACGATCGTCCGTGCAACAACGATGTAATTGCCACGCCGAGCTCAGCAAATTTAGCTTTTATGCTTATACATAAAATAATTCAATTTCTCGTGTGATAGAGAAATTTATTTCTTTTCTCTTTGCTTTAAGACGCGTCAAATGTTATGATTTTTCTGTCTCGTTTCCATCAAGTAATCTGCTATTAATCAATAAGTGTGATTGTAATTAGAATTGCAGGTCAACAATTGCGTTCCTTGCCGTTAAGAAAACTTTGTAGTGCGCCACGCGTTGCATTGCCTCCTACTCGTTTCGAGCGGTCAGCGATTTTAGTAAAACTGTATTCTAAATTTTCTTCTTGTGTAGCTTTGCCATCTCCCGATATATCTTCTCTTTATTACATCGCAAATTTTTTAAGGTTGGGTCATATTTTGTATTGAATTGATTTATGTTAACTAATTTACCTTGGATACGAGGTATATCGTATATAAGCGTTTCTTTGTCTCTCGAGACAAAACTCATACGCGGTATTGTCTCTGGAGATGCTGTGGTCTTGTGTATTACGCGTACAACTCGGTTCCGAAAACCTAATATAGTGACTTTCTGGTTTTATAATGTCATGAGATAAATCAGTTACTATTTTTTAAAATCTTGGAATGTTGCGACAAAATTTACGTTTTTAACATCTCACAACGAGGAATCTGCCCTACATGTTTCTTTTTTAAACGTCAAGTAGTCTCATGCGTTATGTTTATTTTGAATTTTACTGCGTAGCGATAACCGATGAATACGAAGTGATGCTGAAGTTTGATATAATAACCGCCTCATGTTATTATAGTAATAATAACATGAGATAGAGATGGTAATTAATTAATGTTGCAGGTGATCGCGCTGGTGTGCGGTGCCATCACCAGCTTCCTGATGATCCTGGCGCTGTCATCGAGCGACTGGTTGCTGGCGATGGGGTGGCGCCAGGGGCTGTTCGAGCACTGCATCGAGAAGGGGGCACCCACCCCCCTGCCTTTCAAGGTCGAGGCCGATTATGGCTGCTACCCTGCAAGAAATGAACGTGAGCATAAAAGTGTATTTCCATAGCTTTTCCAAACTAATGCTTACGTCAGTGTGTATGCTATCAGATATTACTATATACGTAGTGGGCGGTAGTGCTTCGTTACGTAACCGTTGCCTCTCACAAGTGCTTTAATTAGTTGTCTGATAATATAAAAGTTGAAATGATCTTTTGTATTCTCGGGTTGCAAAAATATTCCCTCTCTCAGATACTAAACGCTTCTCTGTGATCAGCATCATAATGATGGCCAACTTGGTTATGATGATGATCATTATGATCTTGGTGATGGTTAACGATGATGGCTAACTTGGTTGATTTATCCCAGCGTACATCATGGGGGCGGCGGGGCTGTGCGTGATCTGCCTGCTGCTGTCCTGCCTCGCGACGATCCTCACAGGTCTCGGCCTCCACGCCACCGACACCAGCGCCAAGACCCGCTACTACCGCGCCGCTGTCTGGGTCATGACCCTTGCCTGTGAGTGCTACAAACTCCGCGTCACCTAGCACATTACGTCGAAATAACTTTAATTCATTGCTGTCTAAACTTAATCTACTCGTAATCAACTCTGTTTCAACGTCATTTGCCTGAAGGGAGACTCCATGTATCTTTGTAGTCCCAATCATCGTGTCCATGTACGGGTAGCTTTAGATTGGAATTATGCGTTGGAATTAGTTCAATTAACTCGAAAAGTTGATATTTACTTGTCAAGTTGTCTTATTTTCCGAAATGAGTGTCCTCATAATATTGGTCTTGTTACATCGTATCGATATGTTATGTTCCATTTTATTGACTTTATTGGCTGTTATTTCTTGCAAGCCACACGATTGTTTAATCGTTCGTTACAGAACTACTATCTAACGGACAAATAGAGGGTCGCGAAGTAATACTTTTTACATCCTTGTGTATTTAAGCTTATAAGGAGTCCTATTAAATTTTACTTATCACTTTTCCATCTCTAAATCGTGTCGTAACGACCTTAATTGCGTTGCTCAAGTTAGGTTGAGGAGGCACAGTAGTTATAGGTCAGGCCGTATGTATCGTCGATGTTCTAACGCCGGTGCTGTGGTTGCAGTGGTTGCGGTGCTGGTGGCGCTCATCCTCTACCCCGTCTTCTTCGCTCAGGAACTCGAACTCGGTGAGTCCTCGGCAGACCTGGGATCTTACGATCATAACTCGCTTTAGTACACGTAGCGGCCTAAGAACATGTAGCGGCCTAAGTAAACGTAGCGGGCTAAGTACACGTAGCGACGTAAGTACACGTTGCGGCCTACGTACACGTAGCGGCCTAAGCACACGTAGCGACCTAAGTACACGTAGCGGCCTAAGTACACGTAGCGGCTTAAGTACACGTAGCGGCTTAAGTACACGTAGCGGCTTAAGTACACGTAGCGGCCTAAGTACACGTAGCGGCCTAAGTACACGTAGCGGCTTAAGTACACGTAGCGGCCTAAGTAAACGTAGCGGGCTAAGGACACGTAGCGGCCTAAGTAAACGTTGCGGGCTAAGTACACGTAGCGACCGATTCCTCGTATAAAACTGATAATATAAAACCTCGTATTTTCTTTAAAAGCCCTCAGTGATGTTTGAGAAGACGGCCCCTGCTCCGACATTCCCTGCCATTTGAACGCATTAGTATGTGTCTGTTCTCATAAATTTCATGCCTCGCTTAAATGGCTCAAGTTTGATTGAAAGAAGAAGAAAAGTACCTGGGCATTTATTTTTTGAAAGGAAATTTTAAATTTTATTACTCGCAGTGTAGGAGAGTGATAAATTCTATCTATTTGCAGAAGGTTAATTTTGCATTATTTTCTTCAGAAAAAAAAGACTCAGCCAGGTTCAGTTGGCGCAATAAAAGTTCATTTTATGTGTACAAGTTTAATCTCGCATTGCTCTGATAATCGGATTTACTGCTCATGAACTTCTCCTCTGTAGTCTGCATGTATTATTTCCAATATTAGTAATCAATATGAATCAAGTAGCTTCAATATCAATTTAAATTAGATTTCACTAAATTTTGATGTAAAATCTCGGAGAGGATATAATATTTGTTCGTGATTGAATATTTTCCTTAAATGTTTACCATGTTAGTTGAAATGGAATTTAGTGTTTTATAAACCCACCCATTTCTTCCCATTTACATTATATAATTTTTCGGAATTGAGTACCGAGTTATGCGTCCGTATAATTCATTCGATCATTTGTTCCTCAATGAAGTTTGTGGTCTCGTCGTGCATGCAAATGAGTATGTAACTCAAATGAGTGCTTATTTATAACAAGTATTTGTTTCATGTTGGTTCGTAAATGAGTATGAAGTATCTACCTATCTACCTTATAAATGAGTATCTACCTTGTATTGAATCAACGTGTACAAAGTTCCATCTTTTATGACCCTTTCACGCTTTTCCGTCGTTCGACGGGAAAGCGGTGTCGGTTTTTACCTCTATCCTAAATTGTTTATTTATTTTGATAATGAGTGGTTATTCATAATGAGTATTTGTTTAATGTTGGTTCGTTGGCGCAGGTAACCGCGAAGTGTGGGAGTTTGGCTGGGCGTACGGCGTAGGCTGGGGCGCTGCCATCTTCCTGTTCGGGGGCGTGGTGCTGCTGCTGTGCGACCAGGAGGAGGAGGAGATCTACTACAAGGAGAGGACCATCATACATGCCGAGAACGACTCCAGGTGCCTAGCGTCTGCTAGAACATGAATATCTAGAATAGTTAATCCTCTCGTCACTAATCAGGGTTGGCGATTTTTTTGATTTAAAAAAAAATCAAAAAAATAAAAAATCAATGATTTTTTTTATTTTTTCATGATTTTTTTGATTTATTTGATTTTTTTGATTTTTCAACTTTTTTGTCTTTTTGAAGTGTTTTTTTTTATGTTGCAATTAGCCTATTAACAATAACAGTATATGGATCATAATGGATGGCTAAAAAGGGCACTTATTGCCTTCAATAATGGCCAACAGGCCAAGGTGGTGTTTACCACTTAGGGATTTTTGGGTAAACAATTATTGGTACTATGTCTATTCATTAGCTTTGTAACCTGTAAGGAGCAAGGTAATAAGCTAAATATTGACCATTTAACTGGCTTCAATATACAAAAACACTTCAGGAATGCAGATCTTCTAAACATTGAAGAGTCACATAACAGATAGGTAGCTGATAGCACAGTGCACAACACTATCAATAGATCCACTAGTTTTATGTCCTAAAAATCTACCAGACTCTACCCTCTATACACACCGACTAGTAGTGACTGTAGCTGATAGCACAGTGCACAGCACTATCAATAGATCTACTAGTTTTATGTCCTATAAATCTACCAGACTCTACCCTCTATACACACCGACTAGTAGTGACTGAGTGACTGACTGCACTGTTCCCATTTAATTCAGACCAATAAACCAATACTAAACGTAAACTGAACGATAACCAAACAAACCTCATACGACTTGAAACGAGACTTAAGTTATGAGAAAATCTAATACTGTTTGAAATAAACATGTGCACAATTCAAATATTTTATATCCATTCACTGCATTTAATTATTTTATATATAGTCTTATAATTGTAATAGTTTTGTTTCTAGTTTTAAATTCACATATTTAAAGATTGAAATTAAATATTTTAATTAGAATACTCGTATTAGGGTGGAAAATCTTTCAAATTGCCTAAAAAATCAATACTACCTCTCAATATACAGGGTGGGGGAGAACCGATTGAGCAGTTTTGAGGTAAAATAAAAGAGTAATGGAGGTACATAAAGAAGAAAGTTTATATTCCTAGAAGTTAGCATAACATACCATTTAGAATACTTATGTTTTGAAAACAATATCTGGAAGATAGGGCCTTTAGCTGCAACACACTGTTGGAGTCCTTCTCAGAGGAGGGAATAACCGTAACAGTGAATTCCGATCCGATCGCTATGCTGCAATGTTGCAAAATTTCTTGCAGCCCATGATGGAAAACATTGTTGAAAGTGAAGCATAGCGTGACGTGTGGTTCCAGCAGGATGGGGCTACAGCTCACACAGCCCGAATGTCACCTAATGTTTTGAAACGCATGTTTCCCGGACGTCTGGTGTCTCTGAGGGGTGATTTACACTGGCCTGTGAGGTCACCTGATTTGAGCATTTGCAATTTCTTTCTTTGGGGACATATAAAAGAGAAGTTCAGAAGTTGCCCTCACACCCTACCACAGCTAAGGGATGGATTATTGCAGCAGAGGTTATGGCCATACCTTGCCATATGTGTGAACGTGCTGTAGAAAACTTCCGAGAACGACTCCAACAGTGTGATGCAGCTAACAAACCCCATTTTCCTGATATTGTTTGCAAAACATAAGTATTTTAAATGGGTATGTTATGCTAATCTTGAGGAAAATAAACTTTCTTCTTTATGTACCTCCATTACTCTTTTATTTCGCCCAAAACTGTTCAATCAGTTCTGCCCCACCCTGTATAAGCTAGCTAACACATTTAAATTGTATATTGTAATCAATATATAACAAATAGTCAAATAGTTGAAGACTACTTATAGCCTTATAAGAATTAGCTAAGCTGTTAGCTACGTACAATGTATTGCACACTTGATGCCTCTGTACCAAAAACATTCAATTTATTGGAACCTAATACACACTTAAGGCAACAAGTTTATGTACCAATTTGTCATTTATAGTACATTTATACTAAACCATGAATAACAATACCTCAATATAAATTAAAGACTGATACTCAATATATATAAATATATGAAAAAATCAAAAAAATAAAAAAAAAAATAAAAAAAATCATGATTTTTTTATAAAAAAATCAAGTGATTTAATCACATGATTTAATCATTTTGATTTAATCATTGCCAACCCTGTCACTAATGAAAGATGATCATATTTTTATGTAAGAAAACTTGTGACGATATATACGGCTGCTCGACATGTGCGCGACTTATTTGCCAGGGCCTATACTTTCAAAAAAAGTTAAGAGATCGTAAGTTCATCAGTCAATCATTGACGGCCTTTCAAGTAAAATCCACCAATCATAGACAAGAAAATAGAGCGTAAGTACTAACGTTCACTTAGCGAGCTTTGAAAGTATCCACCAATCATAGACAAGAAAATAGAGCGTAAGTACTTACGTTCACTTAGCGAATTTTGAAAGTATGGCCCCTGGAGATGTAGTCTATGTTGCTGGTGCTCCAAAACAGAAACAATTGACTTGCTTCTTATCTAATGAATTGAAATAAATTAGGTCAAACTATATTGAATTGTTGCAAATTGGGATATAACAATTCATTTTCTTCATTCTTATGGGCATAAGAATGAGTCATGAAGAATTTAGTTTTTGTAATTGTATCATCATGGGATTACTGTTGATAAGTTTCTTATTTTCCGTATTTCTGAACAAAAATCCAATCGCTTGACCAAGCTCATTATTTGTCATGATTCTGGGAAAAGATGTTCGATAATAATGGCCCGTGTTCCTCTCAGTTTCTGCTTGAACGTTTGTACTGTGAGCTCCTATTCACAATTCTGATTGTGAAAAGGAGATTCTTATTATTACTATTTCCCTTATTCTTTCTTTAACTGCTCAGGGCATAACTACGCCGTCTGCTACCTCCGGGACTTGCTGATACAGCAGCCCTGCACTACCGTCTCAGCGTCGTTGCGTGCTGCTGACTGATCTCTTGCCCACCATTCTAAACAGACGAGGAATAATCCACATCTACTTGAGCATTAGGTTCAACATAAAATGGTACAAGTTTGATTCTATCCTCGTTTGATTCGTAAGCATTTATCTCGTATACATCCCCTCTCTCTACCTTGTATTGAATCAACGTGTACAAAGTTCTATCTTTTATGACCCCTTCACGCTTTTCGGTCACTCGACGGGGAAGCGGTGTCGGTTTTACCGCTATCCTAAATTGTTTATTTATTTTGATAATTGACGTCAAGGAATTTTTTTAAGTTTTGCATACTGCAATGTCCTATTATTTTGTAAGATTACATCCAACGCTTGGCCGGCTTCAGTTTGAAAATGGACATCAGGACGAGTTTGGCTACAGTTCAAAAATTTTTCCTGACGACGAACTCGCTAGGAATGTGCCAAGCATTTTCTTGTTGCCACTCTATTGTCTGCAACCACATGAAGTTCGCAATGTAATTTCTGGTTACGTCTACACGTTAGAGAACTAATTATTATATTCGTTTGCTTACATCTACTCAAATGTAACACAGAATCTCCCCTACGACGATGAAATCAAAACTAACTACACTAGCTCTGAATTTACCGAAATCTGAAAGTCTTTCAGTGCTGATTTCTCGTCCAAGAATCTCGTAGTGTTTTAAATTTATGTTGCACGGCGATCGTGAGCTTCTTCGTTCTTTTTCGACGAACTTCATGCGTTTTTATCGCTGAAACATAGTTACTTGGTTTCAGCTCGAGGCTATTGTGTTATACAAGAAAGGAAACAAGTCTGGTATACGCTTGTGCCAGCTGTTGTGTGCTGTTCTGCTGGTGTTCTTGTGTTCTTTATGTCGAGACTATCAATTATGGTGCTATGCTTCACTTCAAATGGCCCTGAACAATCCTAACCTCACTGTTACCGTCATCACTTAAAAACTATTTATCGCTTCAGCTGATCCTTTTTACGTGTAAGCTTCGTATTTGTTTGTTAGTTGGCTGACTGGATTTCGTGATCGTATTCTTCGACTGCACAATCTATAGTGAAAGGTAGCAAGCTCTTTCAATTAATGGTAAACAATTTAATTCTTTCAATTAATCTGTACCTGTTATCCAACTGGATTTGATTTGTTCATAATAGTGACTAGGTTAGCTCAGTTGAAGTTCAATAGAACATAAAATTGTCATCAGTTTGTACAGTTTTGACATATCAAAGAGTTAGTACGCACGTTATCTGTTGATCACGCCACGCTCCTGAGGCTCGACTCTCTCGTCTGGAGAACTAACTGCTCCTGCGACGCTTCCTCATGAAACTCCACTGCTGCTGCTGCTATTATTATGTAAGAGAAGATATTATTAGATAATATTATCGTGCTTGTAAAGTTGATCTTTATTGTTACTTGACGATTGGTTGCATTATGTAAATATAGCTTATTAGGTAATGGGCCGAGCGATGGCCAGTGGACATGGTACAGCTATGCCTTCTTCAGGTCACCGTAGTGACTGTAAATATATTGTGTGTTGATGAGTTACTTCGAGCTGCTATGTGTGGTCCAGCCGATGGAGTGGAGGCGGTTAAGGCTCTGAAATTACAAGCCAACTCGACGCTCCGACTTGTTTTGAGGAGTTTAAATAGACGATTTGATGTTACCATAATATGAGGGTTTTGAACCTTCACATGTTTCCTGATCACAAGTTTCATTTCCATGCCAATTCATGTCCAGAGGTTGATTGCATACGGAATCGCGTGAAATAATGCAGTTAGCATTGCTTCCTAATCTTGTGTCATTAGTGAAAAAATTTCCCCAATGCTTTGTTTACAAGCCGCCTCATTTATTGGTTGTTGATTCGCTCTATTGAAAATTAGTGATGTTAATAACCCTCGTAGAAACATGTTTCATGTGCCGGAAAATTTATCTAGCCCGCGAATTTTTTAGTGAATTTTCTCTGATCTGTCGATGCTGGAAATTTGTTAATGACTTTAATTTAAGACGCAGCTACTTGAACGTCGGAACTCACTCTTTGAGCTTGATGAAGAATTATCTGCATGAGAAACTGTATAAATGTGTTTATCATGTAGCATCAATGGAGTGGCACGTATGGCTGTTGGTGATGTCGTGGCGTACTGATTTTATTGGCCCGCTTGCGGGGACCGGTGTGGCAGTGACTTCAATGACAATTATTCACGATAACTGGTCTAGCAATAGAGCCTCCTTATTGCATTGGGTCTGTTTGAAGAGCCACTCCTCTCGTTTTTTTCATGGATGGATATTGTCAATTGCAGGGACTTTCTTCTCTGAAAAGCGCATCTCTTGTCACATTCCGCCCTGTCCTCTACACATTAAGAATCTGACAACCCGACCTCAATATTACTTCCTGATATTTGAAGAATCTGTAATAGAATGGTGCGAGTTATCCCAGCCACGGTTATGATGGCACCCACCACTTATTCCATGAATTAATATGCATGCCTTTGTTGTATACTTTTTAAAGGTAATCATGTTTATGAATATAACGAAGTTTAACTGCTGACATATATCAACAATTTTACTTTTCATTGACGTTTCATTTTTATTGATGGCTTGTGCGTTTGAACAGAGTAAGGCGATCTTTATAATTGTGAACCATCTTCAATGATGAACCCAAGTACCGAGTCTGTGCTTCGCAAGTCGCCTTGTGGTTGTGAAATTCGCCGTAAGGCTTCGCGTGTCTGCTAGCAAGAATTATTCTCAGCTTCCACTTGCGCTCGTAGTTGTGGCTTGTAAATTTGAGTGTCGCGCTGGAGAGACTAAACTCGGTTATGTCGATGGTATTATGCAGCTGTACTAGTCACCATTTAGCGCAGGTATTTATTTACTATTAAGAGGCAATGCACGCCCAGCAGGAGTTACTTTTCATCCTTTCTAAACTAAGCATTCGATATTAATTTCCATGACGCAGGTAAGAGACTATTAAGAATTGTCCGTTATTAACGCATCACTTATGCTTCTAATACATATTGTTAATAATATTTCCTAAGTTTTTAACGACCCTGTGTCAAAATGTGGGTTCGACACTTTACTAGCAATTGAAGACTATGCTTTATCTGAACAGGTTGACAGGTTGAAATACTGAGAGTTTTCAGCTATATTTACAACGTTTCACTCGTGTGTATCTGCATGAAGATGCTAACCTAGTTTCACACATTTATTGTAGGAGTCGGGACTAGTAGCTACAGTAGAGAACTCAATGTTCATAATTCTACTGCCAGGAAAACAAATATACTTTCTTTCTTGAATGCCTCTAATTGCTATGAAATTTCGCCATTGATTTTTCATTACATTGAATACACTAATTACCTTTAATTCCTGCCTTATTTGTCTCTCTAAGCATAGTTTGTTGAAGCAAGTATCAGTATATTTGAAGTTGAAATAGCAGTTAACACACATGACCAGCAACATGATTACAAAACAATGATTTACTGATTAATAGCTCTCTGTTATGTTGCACAAGTCGCAACTTATATGCAATAATCACGTTTTCATTGGATAACGAAGCAAATGAATAATGAATATTAATGAAAAAAGACGTCCATCCCCTCAAAAAGCTACTCTACAACGGATTAGATCAAAACGTCTTCCACTGTAAATGCAGGGCAAAAAACTTGATTGTTGGCACAATATTCTTCTCCCTTGCAATCGAGATTTGATGTGAGACAACAAATAGCTATTTACAATGGGTACCTTCGTTCAAACACAATATTCCGAAATCATCTATCATGTGTGCACCCGGGCAATCAAAATAATCGTTAAATGAAGAATGAAAAATTACTTAAGAAAGTGCATGTGGAATAACCATAAGCAATAATCATAACAATTGTTATGCCCGAGCGGTAATTGACTAAATAATAGACTACCCCTTCATATAGGTAATACTTCTTCTCTTCGGTCCCAAAATAAAATAGCTTTTGAGAGAGAAAAAACTAGTCGAGTGTATTTGCGTGCGGCGAAGAACCAATCGAACTGAGCCAGCGGTCTTAATAGTATAATAATAATAATAATCTATCAAAAATACGTGTTAAAAAAATAACTGTACTGCTTAATCATTTTTATGTGTCTAATGCAGCATCAACTGTAGGCTGGTCGTAGCAAAAGTAACCAATTCATTCAATAAACAGCGGTTGACAAGCTCAGCCAGGGAGAACAACTCGCCAGAATGGCAGTCGTCGGAATATTCAATACCATGATCAACATTGATGTAAATACAGACATGCCTTTCACCAATAGTAATATTGGATGACATGAGTTTCATCAGCTGATAAAAATCCATTTTTCCAGGAAATTTGAATAATGAAATAATACATCTGCGGAGACTTCTCACTGCCAACACACTGCGCTCTCAGGGGGTGCTGGTGTGCTCGTGGTTCCTTACAATTCATTGCATGACAGCCGTTGGGATTTGAAACCAAGATTGAGACAAACACTCTCTTACAAATTGAGAAAAATTGATTTTAACAGAAGAGAAAGTAGTTAACATGAAAACAAATGGCTGAAGACGAGTTGAATAGCTGGCACTAACACCGGCAGTATAGATATCGAGTTCTCTTGTATTCTGCCGCAGGAAATATTCTAATTTCCCTGAGCGTTCGCAGAGCAGCTTTTTAGCTTTTAGCCTGTAGGAGACCGAAGCTCAAAACCCTAACAACAAAATAAGCCCAACATCATAGAATTATTGGCAACAATGACTGGTAAACTAAGCTAACAATCCCATAGAACACGTTCTAAGCTCAATGTTATAATCAGCTGCCTTTATTTACAATGTCTTAGTAGGTCAATATTGTTTTATTCAACGCATAATCACAACGCTTAGCATCTTTAGTTTTATCAGTGACAGATCGCAGAGCAATTTAACTACTTTGTAGTTTGCAAATCAAAAACGCAAAGAGGACTTTTAAAATCAGATTTCGTAACTTAAATCTTTGCTGTTGTCGCACCAAGCTTTCTCTAGGCACAAGTAGTCAAAAGATAACGTCGCTTAATGAAGCTTCGAGGGCACTGACAACATATCTACACGCGGCAGTAACGGCGCTCCTGACGCAGAGAAGAAAGTTGGTCCCGTGTACGCGCGCCACAGGAGGGTGCCGCCTCTCTTCAGCGCCTTCATCGACTTGAGGTGTCGGTAGCACTCCTGCCAGGACTTGTACTCGGGCATGCGAGGTGGCGATCCCGCGACGAGACTGCAATTCATGGTTAGTGTTAACAGGTACTTTACACGTACGTTCAATGGCTAAGAGAGCCATAAGCCCTAGTTTCGGTGTACGAGATGAAGGAATTAGTGTTTAATTCAGTCATCGCATTTTGACACCTAATTACTAGGAAATGCAGGCACACATGAGTGGTAACCACTCAGTCGAATGGCCATCAGTTTCTGTATAACTTTAACGAATAATAATCAGGAAAATTATGGTTTTACTAATTCATAGTTGTAGAAAGGAGGACGAATTTAAAAAATCGGCTGCTAATACATTAAGGTCGAAAATGTATAAAAAAATTACGTATACGCTACAAAAGTGGAATACTAACAAGACATGTCAAATGCATAGAAAATTCAAATTCAAAAAGCCAAACTCATTAGCTCACCCTGATCCAGAGACCGCCATGCAGCTCGACACAACTTGCAGGGGATACCACAAAGATCCGGCCAAGAACTGGAAACAAATGAGCATAATTTGAAGAGCAGCTGAGAGTGTAACCTACATTCACCAACATGGCATCTCGCTGGACCGCCACCGCTGCGAGCGCTGGCTAGCCTAAACAAGGCCATAAGTCACCTCGGGCTATCAACGAGCGAATGCTTCATACTACAATCTTCAAAACAAGGAAGCTAAATGTATTGCGATGAAAATAACCTATGTAATTAAATATACATCAGTATGAAGAGTATAAACGGCAGTGGTTTGAGGAGACGGCCGGTGGCATGTTCGATTTCGATGAATAATTTTATCGCAAGATGAAGTCTCAATATAACTAAATACGGCATGGAGTGTCCACAACAAATCACATAAAATTCGTAAGATGTGAGGTGTATACACCGGACATATTGGTTTCTCGATTTAATATATTGGTTTCAATATTAATATTGGTTTCTGGATTTAACATTACATGGTAGGTACTTGTGAACGAATGGCTTTTCATTGTGCCAAGGAAACTTTTTTCTTTTAATATGGATTAGGCATTTCTTTTGAGGCGCGCCACACACAAAATTTGCCATCTACTGGAAAGAACAAATACACTGAAGTCTTGCGTGGCAGGGGATAACATACTTCAACCCAACACTCAACAGGTAAGAACTTTAAAAACATTCGTATGAAGCTATAATCAATAGATAGCAAGATAGTACGAACCTGTTAGCACAAAAAGATCTCTTCGCATTTTCTCATCTCAATTTATTTCTTTCACATTGAATGGCGGTACCTTGATTGAGGCGCCAACGTAGCTCTGCAGGTCTTTGTCCTCGATGACGAAGTTGTTGACGATGTGTATGAGGGCGTTGGCCAGCCAGAGGCAGCCCACGTCACAGACGAGACGAGGCACCAGGCCAGCGAAGAAACCCGCCACGCCCTCCTCGCGGTAGATCACCACCACCGAACCCACGACGCTCCTGCACTCCAATACCAGCCAATCAATCAACAAAATAATAATAATGCAAGAACAATAAAAAAATGATGCGAGAAAACTAAAGTTAGAGTTTTCTACTAATTATTAAAAAGTGTAATATTTCATTGCTTGCTTGGTTCAGTATCAGAATAAGGAAGTCAGACATAATGGATTCAACCAATCTTCATGGAGAAACATTCAATAAAAAAAATTGCACTTGAATCCTAAATGATTTTTAGCTTCCCACACTACGATGAATAACAACAAGATTAAACGGGAGGACATCAGGCCTCCAACTCACGTATACTGGCCGTCGTGCCCTGCAACTCACGTATACTGGCCGTCCTGGCCCCCAACTCACGTATACTGGCCGTCGTGCCCCCCAACTCACGTATACTGGCCGTCCTGCCCCACAACTCACGTATACTGGCCGTCCTGCCCCACAACTCACGTATACTGGCCGTCCTGCCCCCCAACTCACGTATACTGGCCGTCGTGCCCCCCAACTCACGTATACCTGTCTCTTATACACATCTAGATGTGTATAAGAGACAGCACGTATACTGGCCGTCCTGCCCCCCAACTCACGTATACTGGCCGTCCTGCCCTCCAACTCACGTATACTGGCCGTCCTGCCCTCCAACTCACGTATACTGGCCGTCCTGCCCTGCAACTCACGTATACTGGCCGTCGTGCCCCCCAACTCACGTATACTGGCCGTCCTGCTCTCCAACTCACGTATACTGGCCGTCCTGCTCTCCAACTCACGTATACTGGCCGTCGTGCCCCCCAACTCACGTATACTGGCCGTCGTGCCCCACGAACTCCGCCATGGTGCGCACGGCGATCACGTGCAGCGGCTGTGACGCGATGATGGCGGCGCAGCGTCCCGCAGTCTCGCGCGCCGTGCGTCGCAGGCAGCGCTCAGTGCGCTCCTGTAGGTTCAGGTCATCGCTGCTCGCCTCGTCGTTCTGAAACATGGAGCGGTCTGGAGCATGGAGCGATCTGGAGCATGGAGCGATCTGTCATGGAGCGGTCTGAGACATGGAGCGGTCTGAGACATGGAGCGGTCTGAAACATGGAGCGGTCTGAGACATGGAGCGGTCTGAAACATTGAGCGGTCTGAAACATTGAGCGGTCTGAAACATGGAGCGGTCTGAAACATGGAGCAGTCTGGAGCATGGAGCGGTCTGAGACACGGAGCGGTCTGAAACATGGAGCGGTCTGAAACATGGAGCGGTCTGAGACATGGAGCGGTCTGANGCACTGCAATGATCGTTATATTACTGCACTGCAATGATCGTTATATTACTGCACTGCAATGATCGTTATATTACTGCACTGCAATGATCGTTATATTACTGCACTGCAATGATCGTTATATTACTGCACTGCAATGATCGTTATATTACTGCACTGCAATGATCGTTATATTACTGCACTGCAATGATCGTTATATTACTGCACTGCAATGATCGTTATATTACTGCACTGCAATGATCGTTATATTACTGCACTGCAATGATCGTTATATTACTGCACTGCAATGATCGTTATATTACTGCACTGCAATGATCGTTATATTACTGCACTGCAATGATCGTTATATTACTGCACTGCAATGATCGTTATATTACTGCACTGCAATGATCGTTATATTACTGCACTGCAATGATCGTGCAAGGACTTCACTGCATGTATTCAGTGTCAGTAAAACATGACAGCAAAGTTTTCAAACAACAAAGGCGTGCATTTTTTGTCCACAATAAGAAAAGACGGTTTGAACGGGAAAGACAATTCCTGTCATTCCTCGGTACTTCCAAACTTTCCAAAAAATGAAGGCTATACCATGTTTTTAAGCATTCAACTGTCAAACGGAGATGACGAATATAGTTAAATTCTTACTCTATTAAGAATTCAAATGAGCAAAAATGTAATACGCGTCCTGTGGAACTAAAATTAAGTCAATGAAAATAGAGATAAAAAGGTCAACTTTACTTAGCGCCACTCTTACCCTACAGGTGCACAATAGTTATATCACAAGCGGTTGTTTGAGTTTTAAAATTACATTACTAGTACGCAAAAAATTTAAAATGTAGAAAATGTTCGTAATTTTTCAGTCACACAAGAAACTGACAATAATCGCGATTATACACAGACACTGGATACGCGAGATTAAAAGCATGGTAGCAATGTTAAATAAATGTAAATCATAATTCCGAATCTCTTTGCGATTCGAATCTATTGGCAAAAAGACAAATAATTTCCGTCAAATATTCCATGGGTTCGAGTCGGGCAACACAATACATGGGGAGATCAGCATTGCATCTCGATCTTATCCTTGAGCTGATGCTCGTCCCAAGTATAGAGCTTATGGGCTTCTTGCAGCTCATTCTTAGCACAAATGATACGCTGCTTCTCTTGTTGGTTCTGAATCCTCAACTGTTCCACGTCAGCCTCAAGCTCCTACAGAAGAAACTTCTTCTCTGCAAGCTGCTGCTGCAGTTCAGGTTCCTCACAGTTGGCTTGCTTCAGGCTATGGCTCGCATCATCGATATGTTCGCGCAATTGTTCCATGCGCTGCATTTGCATGCAAACGTTCTCTTTCTGCTTGCTGATTTCTGCGTCTTCAGCTCTGATGCAGCGCATAATGCGGTTTTCCTGACATTCGTATACCGATTCACTTTCTTCTATTTGGCGCAGTTCGGTTTCCGTGAGAGCTTTCTGTTCTTGCAGTAATTCGATTGACAACGACTTCTGAAGATTGCCGAACTATAGTTCCAACATTTCCGCACTCATCTGCTTATTATCAGATTCCAAGAAAGATTCCATCGCCGACAGATCATGAGCTTTCAATTGGGCGGAGAATTCATCTTTCAGTGCCTGTTCTTCGGCAAGCATTACGTCGAGTTGCTGCCGCAATTCAGTTAATTCATTGTTCCTTTCACGTTTGTTGTTCTCAGCCTCATCCGACGCGCAGGCCAATTCTTTTTAGACCTCTTCCGACTGAGCTGTAAGTTCTTTGATTTTCTTCTTAAGCTCGTACATTTCTTGATCGTGGAACTGCAGTCTCTGTTAGATTTTCTGCGTCTCTAAAACTGTTCCAGCCGAAACGCTTTTCTGCAGCCGGATCTGATTCCTGATTTATTCATTACTTACGAGTTGGGCTTGGTATCTATCCTCAAACATTGATTGCTTGCCTCCACGATTTTGTCTCACCAGAGCCTCAATGTAATTCGTCTTGCGTCGGCATGAAGTAGAAGAAGAATCGTCTGAAGTATAGCCGCTCAAGCAACATGTGTCCAACTCTGGCAGGTCTTGGCTCCTAGTATCCGTAGTGCTCAATTCTTCATAGCACCAACGGGAGCTCGATGAAACCTTTTCTTACTTCATTTCTATAGACTAAATTCGGAGAAATTCACTATCCAGATTAACTTTGCTGAGACCGGGCAAACTTTAGTTTAAATCAGAAAGCCATGCCTTTCAAGCACATCGCGTATCTTGTTTACTTATCCGTCTCAAGCCTGAAATTCGGTGAACAGAATTTAACGAAAAAATTATTATTGTTTTAATTAAACAACTCTCGTGACATAGGTAGTTCTTCTAGCAGTGCACTGACTTGAAGATCTTGTATCGAAAACATAATGTGGAATACGGTAGGAAAACCCTGTAGGAATACCGAGCATATATAAGTGATAAGACATTGAATATTTACGACTAAAATTGAGAGAATAAATCAACTTTTCACTATATGAGCAATCCGCAACGATTCCACTGCCAAGTTTGCTTGGATAAAATTTGAATCACGCGACACCTTAACACTAAAATTTGAATCACAGACACCTCAACACTATTTTAGCAACTCCTGACGAGGTAAATATTTCTTTCGGTTTGTGACTATAAGTTGGCAAAAATCATAACCGTTCATTAATGCCTGTTAATTAAATTAAATCGGCGTACAATCAGAAAAAGAATCGATGTTGGAGAAATTGGACAAGATGTACAATTTGAAAAAAACGATTGATGACGTTAGCAAAGCTGGCAGCCTTTGAATTTGGTTCGGCAGCACATTTCAAAGCAGCGCTAAGACCAGGGATTATCCGTATGAGAGAAAGATGTACAGTAAGCTAGGTAACCATCTGAAGGGTTATCTCAGTAGTTAAGAAGCTAGGGACATATTAACCCCCTCGTGGACATTTTACAATTTACAATAATATAACACGATATTCAGAGGTAATGGTGGTAATGACATTAGACTAGTAGATAACGTGCTTCGTGTGGCATATTAAGTTGGGAAAGAAGATCGGAAATGAAGGGTGGCACCGGGTCAAAGAAGCTACGAAGGAACTGAATACATAGAAATTTAAGAATCAGCTGAAATAAATAAATATTATGAATAGATTTACAGTTCAATTTCGAGAATACTTTGTTATGGGACTAGAGAGTAGTACCGGCCTTCCATCGATGATAAAACACCCATGAGTATTGTGCGATCTGTGCTAGTCAAGCCATAAACGTGTTACTATCCTTCATTAAAATTCAACTGCTGAAAATGATAAATCTACAAGGCAGGATAGACAAAAGCTGCAATACACAATGCCGGTGGTACAGTGGCGACTGGCCACAAAGTTGTTACAAATGAGCGACACAAATATGTGTTGCCGCCCATATAATACATGGACATTTTCATCAATGGAAATTCGAAGTGCCAATATTATGACGCCAAACTTATCGCCTCTGACAGTATTAGATTGAAGCAGTAGGGAATATTCAAATTTTACAATTTAAATCTAAATCTTTGACAAAGAATTTTAATTTTATCAACATTGGGATAATCGTATGGAACGTCCATGAAAATTTCATTCGGCCATATATAATGTCGCTTATCAACACTACGTTCAATGATTTTTCTTCATTAGAAATGATGAAACTCTATCACACACATAGAAAATGAAAGTTTATCAGGAAGAGAGAGTAAAGTTTAGATGTTAAGCTACAACTCAACTTAATGATTAAAAAATCAATAAAAAATATTAAGAATTAATCATATCGTTTCACCAAGTGGATGTACCTAATGCAGCCTACCAAAAAAGAAATGTTAATTTTGTAGTAGCTTACACAAGCAATTTCAAACAGAACTGAACAAGTATAAGTATACAAAAAACTCACAGTATGAGAAGATGCTGGGATAGAATAACTTTTCCTTTCCAAGTATTGTCCGCGACTTGTAGGGAGGCAAAGGTTCATGGCCAATCTGAAAATTATTGTTTCATGAAATATCTCAATGTAGAAAGTAATCTACCCAACCTAAACTTCATTCAAGAAAATATATTCACAATGAAATGATATCAACAGCACCATCTAATAATTAAACATCAAAGAATCGATAATAAAGAAGCACATACCTGAATTAAAACTTTAGCATACTCAATTGGATGAGTACAGGCATTGAGACCAACACGCACAATGACGTGCATCCAATTGTGCTCCTCTGATGTTGGTGGAGGCATTACTAAAGATCCCTGAGCTAAAACTCTGGAATTATGCTAAAAATATTAAAACGTATACAAATACACTGATCATAGCAACAACAGCAATTCCAACTTCACTATTATAGGTAATAATAACTTGATTATATATTGACTTAGCATTGCAGTGACTCCCTTATTTCAGGGAATTAGTGACAGGGTCATCCCACATCAAGTGTACAATTTTAAAAATAGGTTCCATTTTAACATTGCCAATTTAGATGAATATCAAAACCTAATTCAATTTATGTTAAGGTATTTTGCCTTGGATAATGCAAAATTAGAAAGACTGAGAACCATCATGGGGAATAATGTTGTGGATTGATGGATGCAAAACAGTTAAATTTACAACACTGCTTTGGCACATCTACAAATTCACATTAGAAACATCATTTCAACCCAAAATTTGATAACAAGGAAACAAATTTCAACACTCAATTACTCATACTTTGCATGGGGGATGATGTCAAAGTTACAAATAATGCCATATCAAATCTGTTCATAAGATTGGTTGCCAGCATATCAAAAATAAATTTGTAATCCTTGATAGTAGAACAGACCAAATAGATAATAATATCAGTTAAACATAAATATTTAAATGTTAATTATCTTCTTTTCTTCAGTGCAACTGGTCCTATAGGTATATTACTTGTGCCAAAATTTCCAAGAGTCATTTACTGAGAATGGTACATTTGATGAAATAAAGTTACCAAAACAAAAACAATAAATTGGGGGAGAAAAATTTATTGGGAACAGAAAATGTCATCCTATAAGACATAAGGCTTACAAGTACTCATTACGGTACTCCTTTGAAAGGCTAAAATTGGCTTTAAAAAGGTAGGTAGTGCTATGCAAATTGCTGCACAATATGCATATATATACTTGGTATATATGTACAGGTTTGATTGAAGACCAGAGCGTACTTTTTATCAACAATTTTCTTATTGTTTTTTTCAATGAACCAAACAGAACTTCTTGCAGGTGCTTGGTGATCAAAAAGCAGATTACCAAATTCAATCAAACCTGTATAAATGAAGAAATTCTGCCTAACTACACTAATATATATTTATATATATTAGTACAAGTTAGCAGAAGAAGATTGTTTAATCATGGGTGGTTAATGACAATAGAATTCATTGATTTGAATTTTCAGGATTGAACAATACTGTCAAACAGGGTAATAAAGAATGATTTTGAGCGTTTTTACAACACTTCTCTTTAACTTCACTTCTTGTCTGTCTGTCTGTCTGTCTGTCTGCTACAAATCTTGTAATCGAAATTTAACAAACTTCTACTTATCCTATTGATCTGAAATTTTGCATACTTGTTTAAAGTTGGAGACAATGCATGAATCAAATGTCAAAATAAATGATTTTATAAATTAAAAAAAAAATTTTTTTTAGTATTAAAAAAATTGAAAAAATAATTTTCTCAGCTACAAATCTTATACCTGATATTTGACACACTTTTACCTCTCTAATTGATCTGAAATTTTGCACACTTGTTTGAAGTCATAGGCAATGCATGAATCAATTAATAGAATAAATAATTTTGAAAAAAAAAATTTATATATTAAAAAAAATTTATGTATTAAAAAAATTGAAAAATTAATTTTTTTAATATTCGAAAATTAAATGAGAAATTCATGGTAGATCTTTAAGATTGGAGACACTGGATTCTTTGGAAGTGTTGTCTTTAAAAAGTAATTTTTAAACGTATATTATTTGGTAATAACTTCTTACCATGAAACATTTCATAAATAAGTTTGGGCTCATTTTATAGCTCTTTGCGAGGGCTATCATATAGCATTTAAAAAAAATTCCATATGCTATTTGTAAGGTGCCATACACAAATAAAAGTGCCCCAAATTTCCCCTGGGAACGGGGTAATCCGGGACACTTGAAATAAAACCTAATTTTAAAACATTTGAAGCATGCAGAGTGTACCATCAACCAGGGCTACTCGGGACGGGCAGGGTAATTCGGGACAGTCCTCTGACACGGCGTAAAACTGTTTTAGTAGCAAAACTAATTGAATATTGCAAAACTAAATATAGTGGCGTAAACTTTAACATTTTTCCTATCTATGTAGTATATAGGAAGTTCAAAAATACTACCTACATATACTAGCTTTGAAAAATTCCTGAAAAAAATGGTGAAAAACAATATTTTGAAAAGTTACTTCTGCCAAGGTCTGTAGTAAAGAATATATTTGCCGTATTAAAAAATGTTGCTTAGAAAAGTGGCAGACAAGTGTCAGCATGAAAACTTTATTTGTGGAATTTACATACCTCAATCCAAAAAAAAAAAATGTGGCCATTTCTGCACGCCGGGGCTACCTGGGACAACCACAATCTTTCACAATCTTTTTTTTTATAGTAAATTCATTTAACCCAATTAAAATGGTGTGAAATTACAAGCCGTCTGGTAAGCTTACAGATACAGAAAAAATGCTATAAGGCTGCTGATATGAAGCTTGCAGTGGACAAGGTTGTTGTAAATGCTCAACAGCATGTTCATGGATACAGTAAATTGGTAATATTGCATCAATAATATGGTAATATCGCATCAATAATACGGTAATTATTGTATATGGTAATATCATATCAATAAAGGAAAAAAAAGTAAAAATCACAGAAAATGTCATTTATTCTACTTCTATCTCATCTACAATGAAAGAGGAGGACTTCAGAGTACTGTTAGTAATGGATGAGTACACTCTGCATGCTTCAAATGTTTTAAAATGAAGTTTTATTCCAAGTGTCCCAAGTAGCCCCATACAACAGGGCTACTCGGGACACTTTTTTTGCTTCTGGCACTTATTATGCTATTCTACGAATAGCATATGGAATTTTTTTTGGAAAAGCCATATGATAGCCCTTACAAAGAGCTTTGAAATGAGCCTAAACTTGTTTACGAAATTCAAATAAAGCCCGCCCATGGCCAGTGTAGCTATCAGCTCAGGTGCTCAGCTGACACAGCGAACCGCCCCTTTCTTCAGAAGTAAGAAAGCTTTTGCCGGGGAAGGTTGTGTTACCTGATCGGTCCGTAAAGAAGCGTTGATCAGTTCAAAATGACATAAGACCAGGTTGGTTCTTTTGAATAACCTATAGAATTGCACCATGAATTACTCATGGTTTGTACAAGGTCCCAGAAGGATTACTAGAATTTGAAACAAGAACCAACACCAGGGTCAAGATTAAGTAGGTACCATATTAAACCACAACATGCATTTGTAGTAAAAATCATTTCAATTACCAAGCTCCAATCACAATAGCAAAAGGATACGTCTCAAGTTATTATATAAATGCACGGGAGCAGCCGCTACATTTCAAAGTTGCGCTGCCCAGCTCTGTATAAATGTATGATGGTAAGCCAAAGTTTACACCACATCAATAATTGATTCGTCTCGTTAAGTCTCCTTAAAATGGCTATAAATTCTGGGAAATTTTAAGATACCAATTTTAACCGGGATGTCTCATCTCATCTCGGTATCATCCCGGAATTCCTACGGACAGCTGAAAATTGTCCCGGTTTTTATTGCGAACCGGGACAGAGTCTGTTGTCTCGTCTAGTCTTGGATAGAAAAAAAAATACCAAACGCAGCCCGCGCCCCGCAGGAGTCTAGTAGACAGAGAGAAACCGTTTCACGCAAGAGGAGGAAAATGTCAGTATTGAGAACATTGAAGTAGTAGTAGGCTAAAGCGCTAAACTAGTAATTTCAGACTCCAGCCACTGGGTGCTGGATCACTAGGACAAAGAAGGAGTAGGAAGCCTGACCTGGGTCCGGACCGAGCCAGGGGCAGGGCGAGCGGGCCAAGCCCCCATTGCCAAATTGCCAAAACCAATCGGACCTAAAGCTATGATCCCAGAATTCAACTAGCCTAGGCTATGTGACAGTACGTCAGTACCTAACCTAACCAATTAACCGAGCATAGTGACAAACCAGAGATTTTCTAGAATCAGTTCATTTTTATTTTCCTCATTTACCCAAGATTTAAACCAATTTCTTATGTATGATGATGCTGGTATCCAGGTTACTGGTATTATTGCAGATTAACTACATCCAAAAAATAGGGTGTTTTTTTTTTAATTATATGTTTTTTGGGGTGTAGATTACGAATCTGAAATCCATTTTTGGCGGTCAGCATCGGAAAACCGATTTTTTTCCGACCCAAAAATTGCGCTAAAAATGCCTAACCCGTTGCACTGCAACGGGTAAAGAAGACGAAAATGTTACCCGTTGCACTGCAACGGGTAACATTTTCGTCTTCTTTGTCCATAAATCTGGAGATACATTGCCACATCGAGAGATCACAAAGCCAAAAATGGATTTCAGATTCGTAATCTACACCCCAAAAAACATATAATTAAAAAAAAAACACCCTTTTTTTTGGATGTAGTTAATCTGCAATAATACCAGGTTACTTAATGGTCTACTTATAGGACTCAAAGATGAACTTGAGGGAGAGTCTAAAAAATTCTCTGCTTTGCCACTATGTAACCGAGTATCATCGATACCAGCAATTCCAGCTTCATTATCACACATAATAGCTATATTGATTGGAATTTCAAGTAGATACCTATGAAATTGTAAATGAACTGATTCTTAAAAATCTCTAGTTTGCACTATTCAATTGTTCCTTGATCTTGAAGAAGTTGAATTTGCCAGTACTTGAGAAATTAAGATTAAGAAGTTGGCCGTTGGTAACTTGGTACTGGCCCTACACCTAGCCGCCCTAGGGCCTCCTGGGAAGCAGCCTAGCCAACTTGTCTAAGGTCACATCACAATGATCACAACTGGAAGTTTTTTTTTTATTAATTTTAATTTAAGGCTCCTAGTATGTGGGTTGGATACTTATTCCAACTGATTATCACTAAATGACGAACGAAGCGTGTGCTAGTCGCTAGACAGCTAGAATAGAGAGAGAGCGTCGATAAAGTAGAAGGTAGGAGCTGTGCGCTAATTAGAGCTGTGCGCTAGCCACTATGAACTCACTACCGTACCCGACTACCCGTATGTCTACTCACTCTACTGCCTACCTACTCCATGCTACTTGGGCAACAAAAATGAAAAAAAAAATCATTTTCGAAAATGGTCAAAATGGATCAATCAACACTATTGAATAATTCGAAATTGAATGTAATTAGAATGATTTTTCGGTACATCGATACGATTTTTGGTATTATAGACACCTAAAACCACATATAATTAACTAATGTTTTGCTGGATTGAGTAACTAAATCATCCAGTCCAAGATCTCGCTACGCTTAAACCACGTATTTTTATTCATGGTTCAACCATGCTCATATTAATTAGAAAAGATTCCAGTTAATAGGGCAGGTTAACCAACAAATAAATACGTCAGAATTTGCCTTACAGTAGTTCGTGTTCGGCTAGAAAAGTCAACCTTGATTGCAGGCTACTAGAAATGACAAACGGCCCAAACCGGAAAATTGGCTGCAAAAATGCTCTTCTGGCATCACGATTTCTTATCAATGTCTTCCGCAGATATGACATCTGCAATAAGTAATTCGGCTTAATCTCGATGCAATACTTTAATCTGCGTTCTCCTGGTCACAGATACTTTAATGTATAGTTCAACCATGCTTTAATGTGTTAGTAGTTCGAAAATTCGTTTAGTACGACATTATAAATTTTCAGTATTAGTATCAACACAAATGAATTAGGGGCTGACTTTATATATTGAATAAATTTTTACTATGAACATGGCTAAATTTCAAACAAATCAGTAGGACTGCTGTCCAATTTTATTATGCGTGTCTGTAGAAGAACCGTTTCTGCATACTAGAAATGAAAAAAACTGGCTAAATTTATGTACAATACTTTAAAATTAATCTGTTATGCCCTGGGTAGGCCCATGTCTCGTGTAACACACACTTGCGTACTAATAACGACACTTACGTTCTCATTTGCTCTCTCAAGTTCCAAATGTACATCTTTCGCGCCTAACATTCATCCTCCATTATTTTCAGTCTTACTTTATATCTCAATGCTGCTTTCAAACGATAGATTTCCTCTGATGAGGGCAAAGTTAACGTTCTTTATCAGTTTTTCTAGCAATGTGTTCACAGATGAGGTCCAGTGTTTAAAGTTCAGAGTACCAAGATTGGAGCAGAGAAGCGCGGGTTCGATCCCAGCTCTGTGCGCCAGTTTATGGTCAGAATCGGTGAGGCGACCGGACGGTTAAGCAAAAGATAATGTGAAGTAGTGAGTTGCGAGTTCGAGCCTGCCACAAGCTGTGGATGTTCTGCGATGTTAAGAATCGGCGACAAGCCTACGGCCTAATGAACGCTGATACCGCTGTATATTAGTATATATTATATTATAAACAGCATTCCAGCCAGCGAGGAGCGCCTAGTATGCTCGAAGTTAATTATTCATAGCAGATTACCTTTATCTATTAATAAAAAATCTCCGTTAAATATTATTACCACGTCCTACGAGACTATATGAGTGATGTGTGTCAGTGAAGACGGATTAACAGGTTTTGAAGTACACGAGGAAGTAGTTCTCAAGCGTCTGGTCGCTCTAAATCCCAACAAGTCATGTTCACCAGACGGCTTCAACCCTAGATTGCTCAAAGAATTAGCAACCGTGCTGACCGGCCCTTTGACAGCGTTCTTTCAAAAAATCTTGAACGAAGGGACTTTGCCTACCGATTGGAAAGAAGCTCAAGTAACACATTGTTCAAAAAGGCGACAAGAGTAGCCCCAGTAACTCCCGCCCTGTCAGTCTGACAAGTGTTGTTTGGAAGGTAATGGAATCTGTTATGAGAGATAGGATTATCGATCACTCGACTGTTAACCATCTCCTACCAGACTGTCAACACGGCTTTATTGCCAGTAGATCCTGCACCACTAACCTCTTGTCAACGATTGGATTCGCCTGCTGGACGAAAGAGAGCCAGTGGATGCATTGTGCCTCGATTTTGCAAAGCATTTTTCCTTGTTTCGCATGAGCGGCTGTTGCGTAAAGTGAAGGCTTTGGGAATTGAGGGAAACGTACTCCAATGAATCAGAAATTTTCTAGTAGGTAGACGACAGCGTGTTATTATTAACTGAACGGTATCGGACTGGGCAACAGTGCGCAGTGACGTGCCGCAAGGAAGCGTTCTTGGGCATGTTTTGTTCGTTGTCTTTATAAAAGATCTGCCAGACGTAGTGTCAAGCGTGTGCTCCATGTATGCCGATGACACAAAAGTTTGTAGGACATTTAAGAATGCGGCAAATAAAGTGTGATAGCAGGATGATCTAGATCAGGGGTCACCAAACTACGGCCCGCGGGCCGAATCCGGCCCGCGACGTCAGTTCATCAGGCCCGTCGACGGTACTTTAATTTGCTTGATAAAACGGTTGGAACACGAGATGTGATACAATTTACATTTTATGCTTATAATACTAGGAATTCTTCACGCGTGCGGGGACCTCCTGATCGCTATGTGCCTTAAATTTACTAGTTTCAATTATTGTATCTAAGTATTCTTGTATTGTATTTCTTCTTGGAAGCAGAAAACTTCACTCATTTTCACTGTTTCGTAAAGTTTTGCGCTTCAATCGCTGAAGATGGCAACTTCAATTTTCCAAAAAAGATTATTTGTGACTTGAAGAAGCCTTTTTTGACAGATTTTCAGATCTCGACAGAACTGGGAGTGACATTCTTCTGTTCCAAAATCCGTTTGATGGTAACCTTGATGATTTACCAGTTGAATTACAGTTGGAGCTCATTGATTTGCAAGCAAATGACTTGTTGAAAGAGAAGCACAGAGAAGAAAAACTTGTCAAATTTTACTGCTGCTTTATACCTGATCATGAGTTTCCAAAATTGAAGAAATTTGCTGCTGTTATGGCATCAGTGTTTGGAACAACTTATGCCTGTGAGCAAATATTTTCAAAAATGAAGTATGTGAAGTCAACACGTCGAACAAGATTGACTGATGAACATTTGAAAGCAATTCTCTTGATTGGATGCAGCAATTACAAACCAAACATTGATGATATTAACGTCAGTTATGGAAAGATCGGGTTCCACAGGCCGGATCCCTTGTGAATCAAGTCACGAAAAATTCAAGAATCGGCAACAGGCCATAGGCCTATTTCTTCAGTGCCGACACTTCTATTCTATTCTATATCTTGAAAGCAAAACGTCAGTTTCGCAAAGCTCACTAACCTTTTTCGCTGTTTAGTTTGTAAGATTCGGATATGTGCACACTAGGCCTGATGTAACTATCTTTTTGCTTAAGTCGCTTTCTTTGAAAATTTTTTAGTAAATAAAATGTTGGTTGTTTTTGTTGTTTATTGATTAACATGGAATTCTAACTTAGTTTTTCGTTTTTTTTTTTTCAAAAACTTTCGTTCTGGCTTGCAAGTATTGAACAGAATGATTATGCGGCCCGCGCTCGTCATTCCTTCAGTTATCCGGCCCACTGTGAAAAAAGTTTGGTGACCCCTGATCTAGATAGTTTAGTTAACTGGGCTGATACGTAACAGCTGCGTTTTAATGCTAACAAGTATAAAGTGCTTCACCTCGGGAACAACAATTAACAGCAAGATTACAGTATGAGAAGACATGGTTGCAATAAGAGAGTAATGATTGAAAATTCTAGCTTGGAAAAATATTTGGTAGTTTATGATTATGTCGACAAGGAGCTGAAGGAGCCAACATCTCTATGATATGATATCACAAAGGTCAATCAAGAGCCATGATGCAAGCTTTCTTACCATAAAAATATCTCAACGTGATTTAGTGAAGGCAGTTGCAATGGAATCTCATAGCTATTTTCAAATATATACTCTGTAAAACAATACATACAGGATATCAATACACTTTACACATAAATAAAGAAGTCTTGTGATCCAGTTGCCCCATATACCTAACATAATATCTATTCACGTTTAGCATACAGAAGATTACATGCCAAATGAATTGTACGAGCGGAAGTGGCAATGTTTTTACAGGGGCTGTAACTTTCAAGAGGAGAATGTAAAGTGACAGTTTACTTTTTTACACTAATAGTGACTAGGATGGCAAAGATTTTCTTTGAGAAGATAGGGAATAAAATTTGGGCTGTAGCGATGCTACTCAATATTTCTACTGTTAAGTTAGACAATAATAATGTGAAGATGCGGACATTTCTGAGCAACTACTAAGTGGAGCAACATAGCATGATGATTCTCTTGCTCGCAAATCAGATCTCCTACATGCACCATGGGACCAAGCAAAGAAATTTGCTGGGCTGGGAGAGTTGCATTCAACTCCATAATGCTCAACTCTATGCAGAGTGAGTATGCATACGTCTATTTACTCCAACTGTCTTCCAAGTGGCACCAATAATAGTTGTAAATGCCTCAATTAAACGGAATAAGAACAATCAGCTTGAAGAATGATGGCATTACTCTTCTCTTTAGCGTCCATTATGTGATGCACAAATAGAAATTATGTTGCTATAATTTACATAAATAAATTGAGTGATATAAACTAGAACAGTGGAATGAAAACGTATAGGAATACACAATTATGCTAGCTGTATGCACAAGAAAATTTAGTCCAGAAAACATGGGAATGAGAGGCAAGATTCATTCCAGGCTTGCAATGACTTGTCTCCTAAGTATTGGTAAAGGACATCCTAAGAGCAGACCGAGGCAGGCAACTCTCAGCACCATTCTCTAGGACAATCATCGGCCGTGTACAAGTGGCATTTATTTCTTGAAGTTAAGCCACATCTGCCATCCGGAGAGCACAAACGTTCCTCCATACAGGGCCGTTGCGATCCAGCAGTTGAGGGCAATCTGGAAATCAAGAATTTCTAAATCAACATCACATCATACTAGACATCCAAGGCTTAGTAAGTCATTTGTGGACATTCAAAGAGTTACAAGTCTTTTATTAATACATCAATCAGGTCATATTCAGTTTCAGAAATGATTATGGTACCAAGATAACGACTGATATTGCACTATTTGATATGAAGCCATTAGTGGACATCTATTTTACTGCTTGTAGTTACTGAAGATGTCACCACTTTTATAATAAGACAACGTTTTATGTTAAAAATTATTATAATTAAAATGACTATTTTGATAATTATACATAATATTATTGTAATTAAGTTAATGAAGTTAATAGACATCACAGGAAATAGATTCTGTAAGGGATCATAGATTCTATTTTATCTCAATAAATATTAATGTGACCCATTATTGTAGTACCGTATCATTGTTCTTAATGCATGCATTTCATCAATACAATCTGTGTGTCAAAGTTCATGTGTAACTCAATAAGGTGAAAAATCTAGAAGAAGCAAGCAAGAGCTGAAGCAATTGATTCTGGATATAACAAGGTCAACAAAAAATAGTTGAGCAGGAAATTAGGAGATTTGTCTTGAATTGATTATTATTGATTTGTCTTGAAGACCTTTATTGTTAATCAGTAAAAGTAGGGATTAAATGATCTTAATAGTTTCATAGCTAACTATCTAACAGAAAATCCAAGTGGAAATGTTGGTTGAAATGTGGTGACCCACAACTTAACCCCTTCACCAGCAGATGGTGGTACATGTTTTTTACAAAATGTCTCTTTCTTTTCAATCACCCAAAAAGCAGACTTGTCTATAACTTCACCTTTACAACCAGCTACATATATACTTGCATATACTTGTTGATTTAACCTTTGTATTTGTAAGCCATTATCATCTTGTTCAGACTTTTTCTCATAACAACATTAAAAATACTAGAAAAAAAAATTTTGAAAAAGTCAGACTAATTGACATTTTTTAATTAATTTTAAGGCCAAAAAACCTACAAGGAACAAATTTGTCAACATATTATTTCACTCAGACTCATTAAAAAAGTCTTATCAATGTACAAGAGATGAATGCATAAAATATGCACAATAGTTCTTAATGCTGTATATACAGCTGAAGGACCGTCACACATTTAAAAAGTTATCAATTCAAAACTGAAAAAAAATTTCCAAATATTCAATCTGAATAGAAAAACCAAGTGGAGGAAAATAATTTCAATTTTAAGACTCACCTCAATCAACCTGAATCCATGGGGAGCTAGATAAACAATACAAGTGAACACAACAGTTTTGATGCCAATATTGTTTGCAATGACACCTCTTATTACATAAACAGCTTTATTGAGGCTACCTGTAAAAATACACACTCCAATGCCACCAACAGACTGTGTTCCAATTAATTGAAATTTATTTAATAATTTGTTCAAATTAATAGAACCATTACTTTTAATGAGCATCGGCAAGTATGCAGTCTTACAACTTGGAACATAGAACTCACTAGATATCAATGTTGTAGGTTGAATGAGGAAAGAAATGCTTGATGTCAATATTTACTTTGTACCATAAATTGGATTTGAGACAAGAATCAGAGACTGGAAATGTTCTTGTGAAAGTGCAAAGTATCTTAAGGTTGCTAATGGGATTATAAATGTGAGCTGGATAAAGGAAATTTGTTTCTATTTGATGGAAATTGCCACTGAGATGATGCAAAACATTATCAATTTGCCAACTATTCAAAATATCAAAAGCCAATAACAGATCAAGTTTAACTTGATTTACAATTATATTGCCAAGAGCAGGGTTGTATCAGTTAAATATTGCTTTTACAGTCATAAATGCAATTGATATCAATTTAAGCTTTACAAAAAAATTAAAAATGAAAAAGTTAAATTGATAGACTACCAGTAATAAAGTTGCTCAAAAGTTATTTAAAATAAAGTATTTGTCAAATCTGACTCAGATAAATAAAAATTCCAATATTGGTTGAAAAAAATCTAGCAACTCAACATGATAATTATTTCAGTGCATTGGAAAGTTAGAGAAGGTTTTTAATGAAGTGAGAGACAAATAGATTTTGTGTTTGATGATTGAAAGAAAATGTACAAATCATTTATTTGCATTTGAATACATCAATATCTACACTTGGAGACAGTGTGGCATTATGACAATGGCATTAATGTGGCCTAATTTCTGATAAAATTAAACCTATCATTACATTTATACTCTAGTGATAATTATTGAATTTGGCAATGCACAGTAAGTCTCACAACCTTCAGTCACAATTGTTAGCTCAGATAAATATTCCATTTAATCTCATACATAATTGATTTAAAATTTAATTAAAAGCTAACAAGTGTTAAGTTCAAGATAATAGTTATTAAGTCACTGCATGCAGCTGCAGTCACATCATTGTCAGAAAATTTTAGGCCTTCCTCTCAGATCTAAACCCAAAACATTTGAATCATTAATGAATCTACAGTGGGGGGAAATAAGTATTCGTACACTTGAAAAATCGTATTTTAATGTATGTAAGTAAACAAACTTAACAGGAAAAGTGATTTAAATTATGTATAGAGACGCATAGTATTCAAAAATACTATCAAAAGAAATTAAATCTCAATGCAACAAAAAACAATGCAACATGTT